ATACTTGGGTTTTAAATTTTTAATTGTAAAATATTTCAAATTATGAGGTAATTGGTATTATGGCTAAATGACAAAAAAACTTGTTTTTGATTTTAGAATGTGAATGCTTTTTTTTTTTTTTTTTTTTTTTTTGGCCAGTTATAGTTTCAGTATTGGAGTATCACGGATTCCCCTTATTTTAAGACTGAAAATTAAAAATTTCTGTTTATGTCAAATGATGGGGTGAGGTAAGGTGAAACCCCCAAAGGGGGTATTCGTTTTAGTTTGTTTACGGGTGTATCAGGGAGAAAAAGATGTTTTTTTTAAAAAGTTTTTTAAGGGGATGAATTTTGTTTTGCAGTTCCCAGGGGTTCTCAGGTAGGGGGATTTCCCAAATTTTTGGGCCTTTGACCCTACATTAATTTTTGTAAAGGTTTAGTCGGACACGGGGAATTTTCGTGAGATTTTGTGTCCCGGGGTTATGCCTGTGGGTTCCCTTTCACAACTATCAAGAAAGGTTTTTTGGGTCAAGGGTTTATTTTTAGAGTTTTAAAGGGCCCCGTAGATATAGATTGCCCAGTAGTAAGTGTGGGGTACTGAACTGGGGGTAAGGGTTTTAAACTTTGAAGAGTGCGGGGGGGTGCTGCCAGGGTTTGGGAAAAAAGTGATTATTTTATTCAGCTTTTTGTTTGGGGTTTTTATTGGCTTTAGGGGTTGCTGCATTTTTTATCCCCCAAAAAACAAATAGCATAGGTGAGGATGGTAAATAAATGAGTGGTTTAGTGGGGGGAAGGGGATTTTGGCACGTATTTTCGTATCTTTTGGGGGAAAGGAAACCCAACCGTTTGGGTACTTTTTGGCTAAGGGGTTGGGTATGGGGGCGAAATTCGGGGTTTTTGTTTAAGGTTTTAAGCCCAGGGGGAAATTTTTCCCCCCTTATTTTGGGGAATTAGAGTGTTGTCAATTTTTAATGTTAAATTTTGCATCCCCCCCTCGCTACCAAAAAATAATATAGTAAGTTTTTTTCAGTTTAAAACCCTAAGTTTATTGGCTGTCCCCCAAGTCGAAATTTTTTAAACAGCTCCTCAAATTTACTGGTGTTTAGGGGGGGGGGAGATTTGGGTTTGAGATTTACATAAGTCGTGTCATCAGCAAAGAGAATGGGTTTTAGGTGTTGGGATACTTTGGGAAAGGGCATTGATGTAAAATGAGGAAAGGGAGGGGGCAAAAGGGCACCCTTTCCCCGGGAAAATCCATTTTAAAATGGGCCCTGTTTTTTTGATGCGTGTCTTTAATGGTACTTTCGATACCTAATAATAAAGTAAAATTTTTAAATAACAAAACGCATGGCCCTTATAACCCTAGTGGTCCAAATTTGTGGAGTAGGGTTTTTGGGGGTTTTCCGTGTCAAAAGCTTTTCTTAGGTCAAAAAAAGTTTCCCAAATGGAAATTCCTTATTTTTCCCAAAGGTGTAAAAAGATCTACCTTTTTTTTGATTTCATCAATTTGTGCCTTTTTTTTTTCCTGAATCCAAACTGGCAGGGGTTTATTATGTTTTAGCCGTTATAAATGAATACGTCTCTTTTAAAAAGAGTTTCTCAAAGATTTTGGATAGCAATGGGAAAATTTTTGATATTGGGGCCCATAGTTGTTTTTAAATTGTAGGGTCACCACCCTTTTTGTATTGGGGTAACCCTTGCCATCTTGAGTTTGTTTCGGGAAAAAAGCAAATTTCCCAAGGGCTTGGTTTTTAAAAATATTTAAATAGCATGGAAAGGGGCATGGGCCGCTCGTTGTACAGTAATGGGGGACATGAGACGATTCCCCCAGTTATTTTTAAGTGGGCTTTATGATCCCCAAAGACCCTTTTCCGGTTTTGGCCCCAGTTGGGCAAGATAGAAGGGGAAATTTGGGAAATTTCCCTCAGGTGTCCCCGGCATGGGCATTGGTTTTGGGTTTTTTTCTGGGGAGATTAATCCTATTTTCAGAAGAAATCGTTTATCTTGTTGCTGTGTCCGTGGGATGTAGTGGGGTTTCATTAGGGTTTTGTTAGGACAATATTCTTTGGTTTTTTTCAGTTTTTGGGGCCCTAGAATCTGTTTAGAGTGTTTTCCCGGTCTTTTTTACTTTTCCCCTAGTGTCTGGAAATTAAATGGAGTAGTATAGTTGTTTGGGTTTTTTTTTTTTACTTTGGTGAGAGCGGATGAATTTGTGTTTTAAAAATTTTCTTTGTGTATTAACCCCGTTTTATATTTCTTTTTTATATTGGTTTTCTTGTAACGGATTTTTTAGAATTTGGGGCTGGTTAGCCATGGGCAAAAAAAGCCGGTTTTTTTTGTGATTGTTTTGTTTTTTTTGGGCAATGGTTTTTTGTTTTAGTCAAGTAATTTTTTAAGAAAGATTCTGTTTTAGTCATCCAAAACCCTTGGCCTTTGGGAATTCGTAACCAATTTAACAGGGCCCTAGGTCAGCTTGAAAAATTCCCTTTCTGAGGCCTCGTCATGGAGTCAAAAAAAAGACTTTGTTGTATTTTAAGTGGTTTGGTTTTCTAAGTTTGTCCGGAGGGAAAGGGGGGTAGTGGGTTTTAGGTATCGGGGATTATTTCCCCGATTTAAGGTGGGCTGTATAAATTGGGCCCCCTAGTGGTAAAATTTTGGTTGCACTTGTCTCAGTGGGCCTGGTTGGTTTAGTTATTGTTTTGGGATGAAAGTGTGTTTTTCAAATTGTTGTGAAATTTTTTTTTCAGGCTGATCATCTAGTAAACCGGGGTTTATGTTGAAGTCTCCAGCTAAGAGAAGGGGGTGCTTATTTATTTGTCTGTTTTTTTATTATGCTTTAATTTTTCACTGAAATTTTGGGGTGTTTTTTGTTAGGTACCGGTAAATGGCAAACCCATTGTTATAGGCGTCTTTAAAGGGTTTTTTTTTAGTAAAATTTTCAAAAAGTATTCCCCCTATTCATCATAAAGCCAAATGGGCTAAAAAAGATAAATTTGGGTTTGAGTAATAGATTGCAATACCACCCCCAAATTGGTTTGTTCGCCCGTTTTGAATAGCTTGTTATCCCCGGTTTGAGGGGGATATCTATTGGGGTTTTGCTTAAGCCAGGTCTCAGTAAGAATAATGAGGAGAAGGGTGTTTTTTAGTGAATTTAAAAAATTTCTAGGAGGTCCCTCATTGGGGTTTTCTTAAGGACCTATGTTGTAAATTAATACTGATAGATTTTAGCAATTTTTTAGGATTTTGTGGGGCTTTTTATTTTTTAATCAAGGGAACTTTTAATGTTTTGATTTGGGTGTCCAAGGAATTTAATTTGGGGGAAACCGGCCCAAAAAAGTTTTATCAATCATCTTTGGGTTTAAAAAATTTTGGGGATTTAATTGAGTTTGTGGGTTTACACCCGGCCCCGTTTGGGGTTTTTTCAAGTTATACTAAATTTTTGGCCCGTAGGGTTTCCCCCTACCCCCTAATAAGAACTTTGGTGTTTTACTTTTTTTGTCTAATGAACCTTCCCCGGGCTTACCCCGGTATTCTATAAAAAAAAATCAAATTTAAAAATAGCAAGATTTTCATGAATTGCACTAAACAATTTAAAGGAAAAATTTTTTGGGTCTTGTTTTGTCTGGTTTAACCCAAAAATACAAATAGGTTTAATTAAATAAAAAAAAAATTTTAAAAAAAAAAATAGACAAAAACTCTCACTTGTAAATTTCACTAAGGGCTAATAATGTTTTTTGGAGACTAAAGTTTTTAGGTAGAATGGGGTAAAGTTTAAAATTTTAAAATTAAAAATTAAAAAAAAATTAAAAAAAGGACAAAACTCTCCAAAAGTAAATTTCCTAGGTCTTATTTAATTTTTTAAATTTGTTTAAAAGAATTAAAAGTTATTTAAATTTAAAAATTTAATTGAAAAAGGGAAAAATTAAAAACAAATAAGGTTTTCAAGGGTTTAAATAAAAAAAAAAAGAAGGGGTAAAAAAAAAAATTGGGCAAAGAAATTGGAAATTATAAAAATTAAAAAAAAAAAGGAAAGGGTTTTATTAAAAATTTTGTTGGAAAAAAGGTTAAAAAAGGGGTTGGAAAAAAATGGTTAAAAAAAGGGAATTTCCCAAAAAAAATTTTACAATTTATAATTTTTAAAGTAAAAAATTTGGGGTTAAAATAAAAGGGGTTTAAAAAAAATTGGGCAATTTAGGGAATTTTTTTTAAAATGAGGGAGAATTATTGAAGACAATTATGGTTTTGTTTATAAAAAAATAAGATGGGAAAAGTGTTGTGGAAGTTGTAATTTAAAAGGGGATAGATTTTGTAGATATTTAAAACAATTAAGACTTGATTTTGGGTATACTTGATTGTGTCCCAGGGTTTCCGAAGAATTGTGAAAAAATCCTTTGCTCACTATTCTTTTGAATTTGGGGGTGCCCAATTTTTGGGTGAAATACAAAAGGATTTTAAGAAAAGAAAAACAAGAATTATTGTTTTGCCAGAAGGAGTTTCCATTAGCCACAATGCAAGAAAGAAAAAACTTGACCATAATGAAAATAATTTTTGTTTTATCCTCAAACTGATGAAAAATGACAGCCAGGGGAAGGGGGAAAATTTCACGAACTGTCTTCAATATTCCTCAGCCTCTGAAACACGTTTGGGGTGTTAAAACATTCCGTAAAAATTTTTAAAAAATTACCTCAA